CTCTCTCTCTCTCTCTCTATCTCCTAAAACTTTCACGGCGGAATGTGTCATCCTGTCACTGAACCCACATGGGGTAACCAGACGTCCCATGGCCCGTCACGAGCTTCCCCATCCTTCCTCTCCTTCCATTCCTTTAAATCTCCTCCTCCTCCTCCTCCTCCTCCTCCTCCTCGAGATAAACGTTACCGTTACGCAACAACGGAACGAGATCGTTACGTTACGTTACGTTCGAATAATTCTAACAATACGATACGAAATATCTATTATTTTCCTTTCGCTTGTACTCGTCCAAGTACAAGAATGTTCAAACGAAGAAGAAACGGAAGGTAGGTATTGCGTCTCGAGAAGCTATATCTTCTCGAGTGCTATCTGGTGGCGAGGAGCCGCACTACACGGACACGGTCAACTTTCGGTAGAACGCGGCTTCTCGTGGTTTCTAACCGTGGTCCGTAATTAACCCATCATACGTCAGGCGTTAATGAAAGCGCAGGAGAGACCGGCACTCCGGCAGCACTGTGTGTCCCGGCAGCAGGGACAGGTGGGAGAGACACGCGTGTGTAGACACAGAGGAAGAAGAGAGCGAGCCAACGGTGTGAAAAACGAAAAACCGTCGAGGCGAAGGGAACGGGGGGAGGGGGGGAGAGAGAAGAGTAACACACACACACACATACACACACTCTCTCTCTCTCTCTCTGTCGCGGACGAAGGAAAAGGGGGGAGGAGGAGAGAAGGATGCTGGAATACGGCGTTTCGAAGGGAGCAGGGGTTGGGGCTATCCTGGAAGGTGGGCACCGCGAGATATAATACTCGACTACCTCTACCAGCCGCGATAAGTGTCAACTGCAGCGTGCCAGATAAAAAGAACGTAGGAAAAATAAAATTTAGCTCGGTGATCCATCATGAGGCTACGGACGCCGGACGCGCACGCTCCGTCCCTATTGGCTGGCCCCGCCCAGACACGGTCACGTGGCCCCGCTCGAGGACACGCCCACTTTTCACAAGGCAGCGCCCCGTCCACATCCCTCCGCGCGTCCGAGAAAAAGAGAGATGAACGATGAGAGAGAGAGAGAGAGCGAGAAGGAGAACAGCGTCCGCCGCGAGAAAGAGAGAGAGAGAGAGAGAGAGAGAGAGAAGGAGATCCACGATAAACCGGACGGACACACAGCCAGACCCCCGTGTGGCTCACCTGCGTGCTGCCTTCGACCGTGCCGCCTTTCCGCCAGTCCACTCCACCTAACCAGTCCACTTCAGCGACCCTCGTCGATCGGATCGTCGACCGTCGTCCTCCGCTTTTCTCCTCGCGTTCATCGTCACTCCGCGCTCTTCCGTGCATCGACGTGTGCGAGTTCCATCGTGATAAATATATATATCCATCTGCCTCGGGATCTCTATAAACAGAGAGAAAGAAAGAAAGAAATATAAAGAATATAAGAAAACGGCGTTCGTTTCGAGGAAGTGGTGGTGGAACAAGAAGAAAAAAGTGCGCGAGAAGGTGTGCGCGATAATCGAATCTGTGGTGAATCGAAAGTAAGAAGATCGTATCATCGTATCGTCATTGAAATATAAATTCGAGAGGAACGATAATCGTCGCGTTTCGCCCTTCGTGCTTCGATGCGGGCGATGTGAGCCAATTGGAGGAGGGCCTCCTCTCGGATCCTCTCCTCCCTCCCCCTCCCCTCCTCCTCGCGTGGAAGAGTGGAAGCGTCAAGGACAGCGCAGTGGCCGTGGCGGGCAGGTGGCCGATTGATGCATTGGGGGCGACGCGGCGAGGAGGATGATGATGATGGACATGGGCATGTACGGAACTTACGCGGGCAAGCCTGACTCGTATCCCAACTACGTTTGCGCGGGTCAAGGGAGTCATCACCACCATCATCATCACCACCACCACCACCACCAGTCCCCCCCCGTAGGGGGGGGAGGAGGGCACGTGTCGTCGGTCCCGGCCTCGCCCGAGCTGGCCCCGACCCACTACTTCCCCCAATCCGCCGTCTCCCCTTACTCCTCCTCCTCGACCGAGAGTTTCCTCGCTGAATCGGGCACGCCGCCTTCCTCCTCCTCCTCCTCCGCCCAGCAAACCTTCTACTCTTCCCCGTCGGTGTTGCACGGGGGGGAGGACGGCTCGTCCGCAACGGCGATCATCTCGTCCGAGAATGGGCTGAGTTACACGAATCTGGACTACACGACCGCCGCCCCGCCGCCCTCCTCCTCCTCCTCGTCCTCGTACGGATCCGTCGATCCTCACCAGGCCTACCACCACCATCATCATCATCACGGTGTGCAGCAGGCGTACAGGGACGAGCAGCATCATCACAATCATCATCAATCGTCGTCGGGGGGGCTTCACCAGGGGGCCTCGATGATGACCCACCCCGCGAGGACGGCCCACGAGCAGCACCACCAGTTGCACCACCACCACCACCACCACCACCAGCACCAGTCATCTTCTAGTCATCACCACCACGAGGAGCATTATCAGCAGCTTCCAGCCGCGAGTTCCAATTATCTTCACCAGATACCGGCCGCGTCGGAGGACTCGTTGCACTATCAGATAGCACGTCAGGCCGATTACGTTGGGGGTGTCCATTACAAGGAGGAGAATCCGTCGGATCCCTCCACGTGTTATCACGCGCTCCAACAGGCGGCCCAACATCCCCACCAACAGCAGCAGCAGCATCAGCAGCAGCATCATCATCAGCAGCAGCAGCATCCGCAGCAGCAACCGCACGTACCCACGTACAAGTGGATGCAAGTGAAGAGGAACGTGCCCAAGCCAGTTGGTACGTAGTAGATATTCGATCCTTGCGTTTCGATCGAGCGTCTCTCTTGATTTTTATCTATCGAGAAATTAATGATCCAGGTGGAGAGCCTTTCCTCTACCCGGTATTCTCGAGATAATTAAAATTACTTCGATTCGAACGAGACTCGGTGGAAAAATTGCAAAAAACGAGAGTAAAAACTCGAAAAGATACACCGATGAATCGAGCACGTGCAGGATTAACGACGTGTGTCATTAATGGGCCGGAATTACGTGTCACGTTTTGTTAATCTCGTTGTTTCAAAGGTCGTCGGCCAATGGGTAACGCCAACATTTTTTACTTGTCCGTCAATCTTCATCTCGTCACCACCCAGGCGAAAATCTCGCTTGCCAAAGCGTGGCGGCCATTCCAGAACGACTAACTTGCGTAAAGCGTCGTTCAACGAGCGGCAATTGAGTCGTGTCGCGACACTCGCAACAAGTTTAAAACACAAATTGTTCCAAGAATTATTTCTTATTCGTTTAACTCCTTAATTTTTTCTTTTTTCACTCACAAAGGACAATGCGCAACGAATATTCTTTTCATTTGTATTAAGCAAAACTACAGTGGAGCAGGAGAATTAAAATTTCCAAGTTTGGAGAAATGGCTTGGAAATCGAGCCTTCGATCGTTGTCAAAAAAAAAGAAAAAAAAAAATCGAAAGTTTTCGAGACAAGGAAGAATCGTTGTCAAAGATGATCGATTTCTGCGATCGACGAACGTTCCTTCGAGAACGTTCAAAATGGGCGCGACGCGTTCCTCCACACGAATCGAAATCCTCGATAAGAGGGATTTCCGAGATAGGAAGGAATTTATTTATCGGGATATTTATATATCCCCGGGTTGTTTAGCCGCTGTTTACGCGACGACAATCGCGTAACGCGGCCGATAAGATTGTGCACACTGGCGGACAGATAGATACGAGGCGTTTTACAAGAATATCGTAGACCGGTAACCATAAATCAACAGCGTTGCGAACCTCTCTCCTCGCTACTATCTCTCCAACAAATCACTCTCGATTATTCCACTTACGTAGATCTTTGATATTTTCATTTTCGTGGCGCCTACCAGTCTTTGTATATTTTTCCTTTCTTTCTTTTTTTCTTTAATCGAACATTCATATCGAAATAATAATTTCGTGATGCAAGCGATTCTTTTTTTTTTTTTCATTTTCTTCCAATTCCTTCCTTCTCTCCCTCGACAACGATCCTCTCGTCGGATTATTTATTTATTTATTTATTTATACGATTATTTATATTTAAATTGCACAAGGGAAAAATATTCGAGGCGTTATCAACCCCCTCCCCCCCCCACGATAAGATCCGCGCTTAAGAACTCGAAAATTCTTGCACTCGAGTTATCTGATTATTTCGAGGGAGACTAGACGCCGATAACGGATATCTCGTCTCTCCCCGAGGCTTTAATTAAAAGCCGATATATTTTCGCGACGCGTATATAATCTGTGATCGTTCTAGAAAGAAAAAAAGGAAGGGAAAAAAGGAGGGGAGGGGGAATTGAAAGAATGAAGGAAACGGAGCCCATTGGAAATTGATCCGGAGCGAGAAGGAAAGAAGGAGGCAAAGAGAAGGAAGCGAATAAGAGATCGGAGATTAGAACACGAGTGGATAAATAACGCGATAATCGGTGTGTATGCGCGCGCGCGCGCGTTACGCAAAAATTGAATGGGACAAGGAGGAACAATTTATCGTTTCGAAAGTGGCGTTTGCATAAATGTGTCTAATTATTATTGGAGACGTGAGGGAGGAAAAGTTGTGTAGTCGAATGTGGCAACAACTCGTTACGTTCGAATGAATTTTGAAAAAGAACTTTTCTCGCTCGACCAGTTTTAAAGGAATTTCCTCGCGTTGAATTTCGTCGAACCGGAAAGAAATACGATTCTTTCTTTTGCAGCGCTCGAGAAAAGGATTGAATTTTTTCAAAATTTCTTCGAATTTTGAACAGATATTGAGGAGAGGGGGTTCTTCTGATTCGTTGCTTTGTAATAATGAAATTAAGAATTTCGTGAGTCTCGAAAAATGGTTATAAGGGAAAAAATTGAGATGGAGGATCGCGATAAGGGGATGGCGGGCACGGTTCAAAGGGGGTTCCCCTCTCGGGCTAATTTGCTTAACAGCGAGGCAGGGGTTGGAGGGAATCGGCGGCTAAGCCTGGTATCGTTCAAACGGAGCTTGTCAGGATTACCAGCGTTCCCTTAATAGCTCATTATAATCGAATTAATAACACCAGCCGAGAAGTCAGCGAGGGTGACGCTTATTACACCGTGACATGCAAACCAAACTCTCTCACGAGTTCCTTATCCACGATTACCACGCTGGAAATCTGGGAATCTGTCTCTCGATTGACTTTAGATTTTTACCGAATTTTCACCTTCCATCTTGTTTACGATTCGTGCGAGGATTTTATAATCTCTTTGTTTGCGGTGGTTTTTAGGTTAGAATTTTCATTGTACGACGATTTCATACTTTCTTTTATCGTAAGTTGTCGTTGCTTTGACTCCAAGTTATCGGTATTAATTTAGATTCAGAAACACATCGAAATTAGAAACGAAGTTCTTTATTATAAAGAGACTGTGTAGACTCAAAAGCACTTTGAAATTAGAAATGAAATAAATTTTGAGTGCAATTAATAATTTTCAATACAATGATTATTCGCGTGAAAATAGATCTTTCATCGATGTTGCTGATGACGTTATATCTTCTACCATTTTTCTTTTTTAAGGTTGTGATTGGAATTGAATAAGCTATTACATGTATCATTAATTTCTATTAATTTAGATTCAAAAGCAGTTTGAAGTAAATTTTGAATACAATTAATCAGAATTCTTATTTGAGTATATTCTCTTACGATTATTTCATCGATGATTTTATATTTATTTTGCTATCACTTTCTTTTATAAATTATTGATACTAAAGTTTATCTTCTCTTTAAAGAAGTTATAAGAACTCTTACCTCTTAGGGACAGCGAAAGCTTTCTTCCGATGAGAATCGACAGCCTAACCAAAATTCTCTTTCAATCCTGAAAAAAGTGTTCTCTTTATCGAGCCTCGAAACCAACGAAATGAAATAAATTCTTGCATTCTCGTCTTAACCAAAAATTCTCTTTCGATCGTGAAAAAAAAAAAAAAATATTCTTCCTTGTTAAATTTAGATTGAAAACCACTTTCGACGAAAACGAAAAATTCATGATAATTCCCTTTTCGACCGAGCAACCTTTCGAAACGAATCCAGAGCGGAATTAAGAGCGTCTCTCGAAAAGAATCCTCCAACAAAACGGTGTAATGATGAATCGAGAGGAAGGCTCTCCTCCTTTTTATTCACTCGCTCGCTTCTCACCTCCCCTCCTCCGCGGGAACAAGGGTGGTCCACGCGTCTCCGCACCCCATTGCGGAGGCAACGAGGGAAAAAATACAGTTGGCTATTGTGCGTCCCCTGGCCAACCAAAAAACTTCTCCACCACGTAAATCTGCCCGAAAACCCTCCCCCTCTCCTCCTTCTGCTCCTGCTCCGCCCATCTCGTTCGAGTCGAGACCGAATTCTGGCCGCAACAATTTCTCTCCTCCGTGTTGCTCCATTATTTTTCATCATTTATATTTGAAACAATTGAATCGAGGATAACATCTTTTTCCTTTTCGAGGATCAAAGGCTTTCGTATCCTGGAGAGAATCGAAATTAAAATGGAATGCAAGTTTAAGTGATAATCGATCTTCTCCAAATTTACTTAATCTCTTTATGGGTATCGAAATCGATCTCCATTACAATTCTACTTTTCAACAAACTATCGAATATTATCAGCGAGGAAAAGGTCGGCAACGATATATTTAGAAAATCGATCGATGATCGAATAATCTCGAGAGCAACGTTGAGAGAACGGCCGTAAATCAGGTTGGGCATAAACGTTTACAACGGAAGGAAAATCAATCGCAACGCTGTTTTCGCCGTTTCGACCAGTTTTACGGCGCGTTTCGCGATACTTACTCGAGAAAGAAACGTTGCCTGTTCTCCTCTGCAATACCAGTTTACAATATCCGCGCGGTATGCGCGCGTAACGCGCGCCTTCTTGCACTCCCGTTTTACGACGCCGCGTCACGTAGGCAGGCCTCGAATCGACTTCATCAATCCTTCTCGGAACCGACGGTCGAAACGTTGTTGCAATTCCCTCTCTGTCCGTTCCGCACAGAGATCTAAAAGAATTAGAATCGAGAGTAGAAGCCGTTTATCGATAATTGGAAGAGCCAACTTCCTCCACCGATAACGGTACACCAGCTGGAAGAAAAAGAGAGAGAGAGAGAGAGGAGGAAGCAAATGTGGGAACAAAATAAGGGGAGCGCGATGTGATGGCGGATAACGATGCAACAAAATCGAAAAGAGGAGGAACGCGGATATCTGACGAGTTGCTCGAAAGAAAAATCGAAACCCTCCCCGCTAATTTCACATTTCAGAGGGGCGAGAGGGACGAAATCCACTCACCATTTGGAAAATCCTTCTCTCGCGAGCGAAGAGGAAAACAGGAACAGAAGGAGAGAGAGAGAGAGTAGCAGCGGTCGAGCGTAGGCAGCGTTGGCTCGCCAAACAGGCAAGCAGTCAGCCAGAGTGTTACGGCTCGGCTAGGGCCGACGCGTGAGTGAGTGGCCGATATCTCGCGAGGGGATCAGAGGATCGTTCGCGTGTTTCCACCCGGCAACCCCGCAACAACCCTGCCTAAGTAACCCACTCCCCCTCCCTCCCCCCTCCGCCCGCAACGCGATCAACGACCACCCTCTGTGTCCACGTGTCTCGCGCAACGGTGATTTTCATTTCCGCGGCTCACTTCACCGATGGACACACACATATATATATATAAAACGAAACGAAGCGGTGAAAAAAGCCGTCGGTTCGAATATTCGGAAGGGCGAGAGTCGTTCTTTTTTTGGGGGGGGGTCGATCGATTCAAAATTGTAATATAACGAAAGATTTCTGAGAGCG